ATTTTAATATAAATAAATAGAGGGTGTAAGGGATCTTGAGATACTGTTGATCCAGCTGCAGTGCATGACAGATCCCAGATCCTGCCTGTGCACTTCAGGTCAGATCTCTGTCCTGTTCTTAACTTTGACCAAGAGACATAGTATGTAATGGCTGAGAAATGCAGTCCGAAGCCTAAACATGAGAAAGGTGAGCTTTGATATTGTATTAAGCCAATCTACAGAGAACTGAACTGAGAGAACATTAATCCTTCTTTTGAGGTAATGTTAATTTTCCTGTTCAGACTTTTTGGATGAGCTGGATAATAGAGTAAAAGAGAAGGCACTGTTGGGCATAGGAAAGTGGGGAGGGAGATGGGACGGTGCCTTTTTGTGACAGCTAGCTATGAAGTTGCGTTAGCTGAAGTGTCAGTGAGTCTTTTGAGTTAGATATTAGGAAATAAATTGTCTGTCTTCCAGAAACTTGTCTGCTGCTATTCATTCTGTATACAGTGAAATGAAGTGTGCATATACTTTCTCACTTACATTTCTGCTCATATATTTGAAGGTTATTGTCATACCATAGCTTAGTCATCGTTTTTAGATTTTGAAAAAAAAATTTTTTTTAAACTTTCTGCATAGTGTAAGCCTGGAAGACCACGCTGTACTAATGCATCTCGTAATTGTGACTAGTGTTAAATGTTTTGAAATGTTATGGAAATGTCCAGATTGAGATGTCTTCTGAAAGGAATGAGATGTTGCTGTTTTCTTCTGCCTTACCTGGTATTGGCATCTTATAATTGAAGGTAATGGCAATCACAGAATCCCAGACTGGTAGGGCTTGGAAGGGACCATCTAGTCCAACCCCCTGCTACAGCAGGATCACCTTGAGCATGTTGCACAGGATCGCGTCCAAGTGGGTTTTGAATCTCTCCAGAGAAGGAGACTTCACAGCCTCTCTGGGCAGCCTGTCCCAGTGCTCGGTCACCCTCAGAGTAAAGAAGTTTTTCCTCATATTGAGATGGAACTTGCTGTGTTCCAGTTTGTGCCCGTTGCCCCTTGTCCTGTCACTGGGCACCTCTGAGAAGAATCTAGCCCCATCGTCTAGACACCCACCCTTTAGATATTTATAAGTGTTGATTGGATCCCCTCTTGATCTTCTCCAGGCTAAACAGACCCAGCTCTCTCAGCCTTTCCTCATACAAGAGATGTTCAAGTCTCCTAATCAACTTTGTAGTCCTCTGCTGGACTCTCTCCAGTAGTTCCCTGTCTGTCTTGAACTGGGGAGTACAGAACTCCAGATGTGGCCTCACCAGGGCAGAGTAGAGGGGGAGGAGAACCTCCCTTGACCTGCTGGCCACCCTCTTCCTAATGCACCTCCAGAACACCATTGGCTTTCTTGGCCATGAGGGCACACTGCTGGTCATGGAGAGCTTGTTGTCCATCAGAACTCCAATGTCCTTCTCCGCAGCGCTGCTTCCCACCAGGTCAACCCCAACCTGTACTGGTGCCTGGGGTTATTCCTCCCTGAGTGCAGGACCCTGCACTTGACCTTGTTGAATTTCATTTGGTTCCTCTTTGTCCAATTCTCTAGCCTGTCCAGATCTCACTTAATGGGAGCACAGCTTTCTGGTGTGTCAGCCACTCCTCCCAGTCATTGATGAATATGTCGAATAAGACTGGACCCAGCACTGACCCTTGCAGCACACCACTAGCTACAGGCCTCCAACTAGACTCTGCGCTGCTTATCACAACCCTCTGGGCCCTGCCATTCAGCCAGTTCTCAAACCACCTCACTGTCCACTCATCCAACCCACGCTTCTTAAGCTTGCTTATGAGGATATTATGAAAGATGGTGTCAAAAGCCATGCTGAACTCAACGTAGGCAACATCCGCTGTTCTCCCTTCATCCACTCAGCCAGTCATGCCAACGCAGAAGGTTATCAGATTGGTCAGGCAGGATTTCCCCTTGGTGAATCCATGCTGACCACTCCTGATAACCTTCTTTTCCTCCACCCCAGAATAAGGTGTTCCATCACCTTTCCAGGGATGGAGGTGAGGCTGACTCGCCTGTAGTTCCCTGGGTCCTCCTTCTTTCCCTTTTTGAAGACCAGAGTGACATTGGCTTTCCTCCAGGCCTCAGGCACCTCTCCTGTTTTCCATGACCTTTTAAAGATGATTGAGAGCAGCCTAGCAATAACATCTGCTAGCTCCCTGAGCACTCATGGGTGCATCCCATCAGGGCCCATGGATTGGTGGATGTTGAATTTGCCTAGATGTTCTCTACCAAGGGAAGGTCTTCCTTTTGCAAGACTTTCTTTCCTACCTCCAAGGTCTGGGATTCCTGAGGGCTGGCCTTAGCAGTAAAGACTGAGGCAAAGAAGGCATTCAGTAACTCTGCCTTTTCTGTAACCTCTGTCACCAAGCCACCCACCTCATTCAGCAGCGGGCCCACATTTTCCCTAGTCTTCCTTTTTCTGCTGATGTATTTGAAAAAGCCCTTCTTGTTGTCTTTGACATGGCTTGCCAGTTTTAATTCCAAGTGGGCCATAGCCTGCCTTCTTGCATCCCTGTGTTCTATGACTACATGTCTGTGTTCCTCCCAAGTGGCCAGTCCCTTTTTGCACATTCTGTAAAGTTCTTTCTTCCCTTTAAGTTTTTCCAGGAGCTCCTTGCTCATCCATGCAGGTCTCCTTCCTCCTTTGCTTGATGTCCTGCTCTTTGGGATGCATCGATCTTGAGCTAGGAGGAAGTGGTGCTTGAATATTGACCAGCCCTCTTGGGCCCCCTTACCTTCCAGAGCCCTAACCCGTGGGATTCTCCCAACCAGGTCTTTGAAGAGGCCAAAGTGAGCTCTCCTGAAGTCCAGGGTTGTAATCCTATTGATTGCCCTGCTCCTTCCATGCAGGATCCTGAACTCCACCATCTTGTAGTCACTGCAGCCAACACTGCCTGCAACCTTCACATCCCCAACCAGTCCTTCTTTCTTTGTTAGTACAAGGTCCAGCAGCACCCCTCTCCTCGCAGGGCTCCTCCACCACCTGTGTTATCAGTGCTCTGCTGGAACCTCTTGGACTGTGCGTGCCTGGCTGCGTTGCCTTTCCAGAAGATATCAGGGTGGTTGAAGTCCACGGTGAGGACCAGGGCCTGTGATTGTGAGGCTACTTCCAGCTATCTGTAGAAGGCCTCATCAACTTCCTCTTGCTGATCAGGTTGCCTGTAGTAAACACTCACAACAGTGTCACCTGTATTAGCCTGCCCCTTAATCCTTACCCATTAGCTCTTGACTCATTCTTCATCTGCCCCTGTGCGGAGCTCAGTACGTTCCAGTTGCTCATAGAGAGTAACTCCACCACCTTGCTAGCCTGTCTTTCCTAAAAAGTACATAGTTATCCATTCAGTCAATTCAAGCACATTCCAGTCATGCGAGCTATCTGACCATGTCTCTGTAGTTGCAATGAGATCGTGGCCCTGTGACCGCACACAAATCTCTAGTTCTTCCTGTTTATTCCCCATGCTGTGTGCATTGGTGTACAGGCACTTCAGAGAGGTAATCGAGCATGCAGGTTTCCCTGGAGGGTTGCAAGAGGGTCCACCATAGCCATACTCACCCTTGAGGTGGTTGGCTTTCTGGTTCTCACCTTGGGAGGCAGTTACGGGACATTTGTTGCTGCTGTGGTTGTCCTGGCTTATTCCTCTGTTGGATGCGATGGCATGAGCATTGTCACTTTGGACCCCACCCCCCATGTCCTTCAGTTTAAAGCCCTCTTCACCAAGTTGGCCAGCCTGCTGCCAGAACATCCCATTGTCATATAAGCCAAAACTCTTGCGATGGCACCAGCCACGTAGCCAGGAGTTGATATGCATTATACCTCTATTTCTGGCTGCCCCCTTTCCTCCCAGAGGTAGAATGGAGGAAAAGATAACTTGGGCACCAATGTTTTTCACTTGCACCCCCAGGGCTTTGTAGTCCTCCTTGACTTCTAGTTGAACCCCCAGGTTCTGGCTTGCAGTGTCATTCATGCCCACGTGAAAGAGTAGCAGTAGAGCACAAGTCTGTGCTCTTGAAGGAGAAAAATCAGTAATGTGGTCTGCTTTCTAGAAAGTGTTGTGCATCAGATGTAACATGCAGACTGAAATCTGTCTTCAGGGGTTCCATGCGGATTGGGAAGGACTTTATCCTGTTCACAAAGAAAGACAATACCATGACTTGCCTCCTCTTGTCACGGACGTTCCATGAGGAAGAAGGCATCGATGAGGTTTGCATGTACTTTGTTTTAATGAACTAATGTGGTGAATGCTGTCTCATCTGAACTTCCCCAGCTCTCCCAGGAGAAGAGTCTGTGTCAGTGTTGGTTGCCAGTCTGGTTGGATCCATGTATGGTTTTCCCTTGGTGATACGCTTGTTTGGGTTCTGCAAAGTCATCACAGATTTTTTCCTTTTGGTTTTAATTCTGTTTCAGAGGTCTGTCTAAACTACAGCAAGTTTGAAGGGCTCGTTTCAATCACTTAAAGTTGCTTATACTGAGATCAGGACATGCCCAGACTTCTTGCATTTTCCTTTTCCCACAAAATTTGAGTTTGAGTTGCATTTAAAATTATTGCTCTGATTTGATATCCTGTAGAGACCTAAGGTGTGATTGAAGTTGCTACCCACAGGTCATAAACTCCAGATATGTCTCTTCTTTCAGATTTTTTTCTTTTTTAATAAAAAAATCAGTGTGGTTCTACCATTGAAAACTTGTGTATCTTAATAGATAATTCAGGCATTGTTGTTCTGTATCCAGACTTTTAACAGGGAAGTATTTTTTTGCTCAAGCACAAGTATTTTCCAGGCAAGGCAGATAATGAAAAGTTTTATATTTCCACTGGGATGGTATCTAAGAAAGCATTCTCCATTGTGATAGTGGAGCTAGTGGCCAGCTGATGGCCAGGTTGGGAACAGTGGTGTAGTTCCCACAGTGGCTGTGGAGCCAGAAATTTTGGCTTGACCTCAATTCTAAAGTGATGATGGGATTCGCTGTCCTTGATAGGCAGCTGCAGTCTGTAATTCTATATGTGTTTTTGTTCTAAACAACAGAAAATACCAGTAACTGTGCTAGAATCCTATAAAAATAATAAAGAGTGAGGTAAGGATAAATACGAGTGAAGGATATTTGAGTTCAAGGGAGAAGTTAAGCAGAGAGGTTGACTTTTTAAAGCAGCAGAGTTTGGGTGGTTGTTCTAGTATTATGAAAGTTGTTACAAGAGGAGGAGAAAAAAAAGCCATTGAGTGTGTGAGTAGCCAGTACCATATCAGTTACTTGGGAATGGTTTATTCTAAGACTAGATGTTGTAGGAAGGCAATTCAGAGGCTGGCAAACAGGGGTCCTCGAGCATTTGACAGATGTACAAACCACTGAAAAGTTAGGAGGGACTCTTGTAGTGACTTGGAGGGCTGTTGAAAGGGGTAAGTCACTCGGCCATGGTCTGCAGAAGGGGCTGACTGGAGTGGGTGAGCCTGAGTCGCTCTTGGTATGATGCAATTTGCAGGTCATTGTTCCCCTGCCCACCTGGAATGCATGGAGCCGGGAGCCTGTGACTGACAACATGGAGAAGTTTGCAATTGAGACGGAGCTAATTTACAAGTATTCCCCTTTCAAATCAGAACGGGAAGTGATGGAGCAGTTTAATAAGATCCATGGTGAGAAAGGTACGTATGGATGGTGCTGGTCATGGGCATTTGGGGTTTGGCTGGGATTCAGCTGATCAGCTTGTTACTTCCTCAGGCACCCTGGTGATCATCTTTAACCTCAAACTAATGGATAATGGAGAACCAGAGCTGGATGTGACTTCTGACCCTCGAGACATTCAGATGGCAGAAACACCCCCAGAGGGAACGTAAGTGTGACGAGCGTTACAAGCCCTTGGGCTCCTCTCAATTTATGTGTAGGGTTTGGCTATATGCTGCGTGCATGTGTTTTTGAAAAGCTTCTCTTTCTGTGGCAAATAGGAGAATTTAGAAGGTCTTTAGTTTGTTCTTTAGCAGCCTGGAGTTCATGCATGTGTCGTGGTTTAACCCGGCAGGCAGCTAAAACAACCACACAGCCATTTGCTCACTGCCCCCTGCAGTTGGACGGGGGAGAGAATCGAAAAGAAAAAGGTAAAACTCGTGGGTTGGGATAAAGACAGTTTAATAGGACAGAAAAGGAAGAGAATAATAACAACTACAACAATAATAATATAATACAAAACAAGTGATGCAGAGCACAAGTGCTCACCACCTGGAACTGATGCTCAGCTAGTTCCTGAGCTGTGCCCCTTCTGGCCCACACCCCCAATTATATAGGGAGCATGACGTCATATGGTATGGAATATCCCTTTGGCCAATTGGGATCAGCTGTCCTGGCCATGTCCCCTCCCAGCTTCTTGGGCACCACCAGCCTTCTCATTGGCAGGGCCACATGAGAAGCTGAAAAGTCCTTGACTGCTTGGCAACAACTAAAACATCAGTGTGTTACCTACATTGTCGTCATCCTAAATCCCAAACACAGCACTACTCCAGCTGCTAGTAAGAAAGTTAACTATCTCAGCCGAAACCAGGACAGTGTATAAATGGCATGCAGGCATTATGGTTGTGTGTTTGGTGTGCATGCCTGCTTTGCTGTGTCTCAGCTTAGTCAAAGCAGCAAACTCAATGCCCTTCTTTAGGCACCCTAAAACAAAGGAGCCCTAAGCTGTAGGTTTAATTTTCTACACTCATCAAAGATGTTTTTGTCAGAATGACAGCTGGTCATGAGTCTGTGCTGCTCTCAAACTAATGTTCAGTTTTGTGATTAAATGAACCCTGGCAAAATGCAAGGTGCTGCGCAGGTCAGCCTCCATGAGCAGATGGTTGGGTGCAAGTGAGGTGTATCTGCAGGTCTTTCTGGGAGAGGGGCAGCTCCTGGACTTCCTGCAGAGGAGGACGAAGGATGTGCTCAGAGGGCAGCTGGAGGAGCAAAGGGCCCTGTTCAGGGAAAGCTGAGTGTTTGCTCAGCTTATCGGGGAGGGATTCTGACGTGAGCCTTCTGGAAGCTTTGTTCACTTGTAGCCTGAAAAGGAAAAGCTGAGCTGAGCCAAATGCTTGGTTAAATGTGAGCGCTCCATGGGCACGCCTAGCAAGCTTTACCTTTTTTATGAGATTACATGCTTCTTCCCTGAAGTGCTTGAATTTCCCGTAGAAATACAGTTTCAAACACTGTAAACCTAGGTATTTCTGTATCTATTAGCTTGATGTTATTGAGTACACAGGTGCAGCAAACTCCTTGGGTACGTCCAGGGATCTAATATGCTTCTCAGTTTCTTTAATGCCTGCTGGCAAGCTTTCATGATTACCACTGAATCACTGGAAGGAGCTTCTTTCTTCTGACCTTGTGACAGCATTTCTGTGTGTGGTCAGTGCCGTTTCAGACGGAGCATACTCCTAACTAACCAAAGGGTAAGAGAACGCTCTGGTGAGTGGGGCACACACTTAGTTTTAGATGGTCCAGTTTATTATCCAGCTGTATTCAAAACATCCTTTCCAAGCTACAGCAATATGTGCATCAGTGTTTTGTAACGCTATTTAAAATGTACAGCTTAATAGAAAAATCTCAGTAGAAGACATAGGTAGAATAAATGTAAAAAAAAGCCTCACTTAATGTAGCTGCATGGTAATTAAAATAGAAAGGCCTTTTATTTTACCTAGTTTTCTTGCTGAAGGTTGTCTCTGGCTTTTTTTTGAAGTAGATGGCTATGAGCTGAGATTGTAACAGTTACAGGTGGGTGAGGCGTGAATACTGCCACAGGTGCTTAAAATACATCAGGCATAGTGCAGAAGTGGGGAGGTGCTTGTGTTGGTCACTTGGCTCCTATGTAGCAGTTTCTTGGGCAGTTAAGGTCTTGTTCGTTTATTTGGATAGAGGAGGAGGCTCTGTGACATGCCTCTTCTTAATTGGAAGGGAACAAAGGGGGAAAAATGAAGGAAAGAGAAAGCGGTATGTGGACTGAAAGAGACTTCAAGATGAACACTCTGACTAAAGAAACACTGGTTACTCAGAGGATGGATTGATGGAGTCATCTTTGGGCTACATGGACCAGACTGGGAGAACATCTGCTGGTAGTCCTACAAGGAAATGCTGAGCAAACCGCTCAGTCTCTGTAAGCATCCCTGTCTTGCAGAAAACCTGAGCGCCGCTCCTTCCGTGCCTATGCTGCTGTGCTTTATATTGACCCCAGAATGAGGATCTTCATAAATGGACACAAAGTACGAACCAAGCGGCTTTCCTGCTGCCTGTACAAGCCAAGGTGAGTGTTGGACCCAAAGTCTGCAGATGTGTGGGACCTTTTGGAGTTTCCTTATAGAAAAGGTTTAGCATTTTGCTGTCTGGGTGTATCCTGCATAATTCCATGTTAAAGCCACAGAAACAGATCGTAAGAGAATGGGATGTGGTAGTGACATCATGGAAAAAGAGGTGGATAGCGGAAGATCTAATGCCTTTGAAAATCACATGAGTAATTTGTGCAATTTGGCTCCCTGTCAGAGCAAAGAAATGAAGATACTGATTGTTCAAAATGCCATATCCATACAAAACTGTTGGGTAACTGGTTTTGTGGTTTTTTTTGAAGTAGGACAAGGAAATTGGAATTATTACTGAAAAGAAACTAGACTGAGCAATCTGAAATAGTTGCTTTGAAAATTAACTTTCATATGTAGCTGATCTAGGTATGAATAGAAATTGGGAAATACCTTTCCCTATCTTTCATTTAAATTCCCTTAAACAAAAAATTTGGAAGTGAGCTGAGGTGTGCTGCCAGTTGGCTTAACAGGGACTGGAAAAGTTTGTAAGGATGGAAGGGGAAAGGAAAACATGTATTTAAGTCTACTTGAGTCAATAATGTTCTTCTGTCCCTGAGAGCACACAGGCTGCATTCTAGATAGCTTAACATGATTTGTCTTACTAAAATTGTAGTAATTTTATAGAGTATTGTTGTAGTTTAACCCCAGCCAGCAACTGAGCCCCACGCAGCCGCTCACTTGCTCCCCCGCAGTGGGATGAGGGAGAGAATCGGAAGGGTAAAAGTGAGAAGACTCATGGGTCGAGATAAAAACAGTTTAATACGTAAAGCAAAAGCTGCGCACGCAAGCAAAGCAAAACGAGGAATTGATTCACCACTTCCTGTTGGCAGGTGTTTAATCTTCAGGAAAGCAGGGCTCCATCATGCCTAATGGTGATGTGGGAAGACAAACGCCATCACTTCAAATGTCCCTCTTCTTCCTTCCTTTTCCCCCAGCCCCTTACGTGCTGAGCATGACGTCCTCTGGTCTGGAGTATCCCTTTGGTCACTTGGGGTCAGCCGTCCCAGCCCCGTCTCCTCCCAACCCCTTGTGCACCCCCAGCCTACTTGCTGGTGGGGGGTGTGAGGAGCAGAGAAGGCCTCAAGGCTGTGTTAAGCACTGCTCAGCAGGAACAAAAAAATCCTTGTATTATCAAAGCTGTTTTCAACCCAAATCCAAACCATAGCCCCGTACTAGATACTATGAAGAACATTAACTCTATCCCAGCCAAAATCAGCACAAGTATTTATGGATTGTTTTAATACAACATTTCACATTGCAGTCATGTTTCAATAGTATGGGCCCACTGTCAACCTGTCAGGTACTTTTACTAACCACAGTCTGATGTCACACCACTGATTGCTGCCCTAAGAGCCTGGCCAGTTTTCAACTTGCAGCAGGTCTGTCAAGCTCATACCTCCTCAGCTTCTTAAATGAAAATGTGGGAAACAGTATCAGAAGCTTGACCAAAGTCCAGGGAGATTACATACTCTGCTCTCCCCTTGTTGACCAAGCCAGTCGTTTCATTGTAGAGGGTACGTGCAGCTTGACTTGCCACTGTAAGTCCTGATTGCTGGATAGAGAATCTCTGAATTTCTGACTGTGTTTTACCTACATGTGAGTGCCATGTGCCTCTTCCTCTTGTGCTGCAGTTCAACAAAAGTACTATGGAAAGAAAGCAGAGGAGGGCGGCACAGGTTTTTATCACATCAGAGACTTGCAAGTTTCTTGCAATGCTCAGAGACAGGATGCCATTGCTGTGGGATGGTGCTAGCATTGTCATGATAATATAACATGGACCAGGTCATCCCAGATGTTCCTCTGCCTCAGTATATTCCCTTTTTCAGGTGGTCAGTAGTCAGTGCCTGGGGAGGGATATGAGAATTTTGTCCTGTACCATAGGACTGTTTTCTGTTGAGGAGAGGCTGTTTTTAGACAATTTAGACAGCAGGTCTTCTAGGTCCCTATCACCAATTCTGTATCTGCTTTTCATTGTTTTTGGGGAATAGTTGCAGCTGTTTAAGGGGAAGTTCAAGTTGTAACTGCTCAGCAATGACAATTCATGACCAAGGAATGATGTGGCATGGAGAGCAAGAAAGCCCAGCCGCAGAATGGGTTACACTGGTGGATAAGACATGCTGCAGTGTTGTCTCATAACAGTGATGTAATGCCAAATGCTCAGGGACCAGTTGTGGTAAATGGAGCTGGTGCTGGGGGATGAACCCAGCGCTGGGCTAAGGTGCCCCATACTGACACTCACAGGATCGGTGCTGGTGCGGGTGTATCTAACAAATCAGCTTGTGCTGCATCTCTGCAGACTCCTCGTAGATCTGCTTGTGATGGTAGGCCAATAAAATATTCCCAACACCGTAAAAATATTTACATTTAAAATCCCCACTCCTTCAGTAGAGAAGTAAACTCTGCAAACAAGGCCTTCCTGTAGAGTACAGGGTAGATCTTCTTGGACTTGAGGCTACTTATCATAGCCTTACCATGTCTTTCTGGAGAGCATCCAGACTGCTTTCTTCTGGTCTCCCACTCCTCACACCAGTTTTGGGCTCCAGAAGCTGTGTGGCCATCGGGATGGGCCATTGAAACCTTCACCATGAAGAGAGCCAGCACATTCCTTGGGGTAGGTGCCCATGCTGTGCCCTGGACAGGTTGTGGAAACTCGATGTTTTACCTTCAGGTATCTGGTGGCTCTTTCCTGAGGGAAAACCGGTAAATCGGTCCATTCTGAGAGTGGAGTTACTCTGCTTTTACAGCTGTATTTGATTTTTTTTCTTTTTTCTCCCTGAACCTGCTGAAAAAGGGTTGCTTATGCCCTGGATTTTCCCTTTAGAGTTGAAGCCAGAGCTCACACATCCCCAGTTAGCTACTGGGCTTTGAGTGCTCTGCAGGTTAATACTACTCCCCTGCACTTGCACAGAGACTCCAATTTGTATGGGGGCGCTGGGGTGAAGTGTACCACCGTTAAGGTGTTCTGTTAGAGGACAGTTGATGCAGCAGCGATGCTCAGCTCTTTAGCGTAGCTGGTTTTTGCAGAGCCTCAGTAGCCTAGGCCAGGTAGCTGTTGAACTTTCCTGGTCCAGCAAAGGGATGGGTGAAGTGAAACCAGGCAGTGAAACCTCTCCTGTCTGACAGCCCAAGTAGATGGTACGCTGCATGTGGTACCTACTTAAGGGCTCTTTGCTAGTCTTGGGGGAAGTGTCATGATTCCTGAGCTTAAACAGGTATTAATTTTATTCATATCCTCCTGATAAAGGCCAGTGAACTACCGTAAGGGACTGCCATCCATCTGTCAGTATGGAGACATCTCTGTCCATCCATATTGTTGGTTTTATAGGAAAGTCTGTTATAAACCAGACTGGCATGCAAAGGGCAGGGCATTACCTGATGGTGAGCTGACAAATGACTCCTGATTGTGGTCTTTTTACATACTTCTTGGTGAACTTTGGGCCAGGTGTCTTTCTGTTTGAAGTGATGCTTTCATGCCTTATGTTGGATATTAGTAGGTACAGTCATCGGCTTGTCTCTCTGCCCTCTGGTCTGCTTTCAAGATCTGCTCAGGAGGATTGCCTTCAGGAGGTGGTGGCTCCCCTTCTACAGTAGGGCTGTAAGTCAGATTGCTTTCATTTCTGAAGGAAAAGCTTGTACAGTGACTTATCTGCGGCTAATGTGTCGGTGTTAGAGAACAAAGAATGGAAATCCATCGTGGGCTTCAGGGTATTTAAATGCCTTTATTGAAAATTGAGGTTTTGCAGCCTTTGCGCTGTTCTTCATCAGCTTCGTCAGCTCGTCTCCTGAGCCGAGTACTTGTTTTCCTTTTGTCATCTGCCTTTCTGGGAGCCGTGTCTCCGTGGGTAGAGGCTTCTCTGTACCTTTCTGGAGCCTGGAAACTCCCAGCGGCAGGGACAGACCGGTTTTGTGCAGATCCTTCACCAGTGTTTGCAGGTGTGATACCACAATACCAGCCTCCCTGGGGATGGCTTGTGTCTCCTGAAGGATTGCTTCCACCTGTTCCCTCCTGCAGTAACTGAGTGCTTTAGCAGTGTGGGCTGTGCAGATAGAAGTAGCCAGGCCACGTGCAAGGGTGTCTCTTCACAATGTCACTCCAAGGCAGTGGTAATGAACGTCTTGAAGCTGGGAGAGTGTGTTTTACTATTGCAACCTGCATACTTCTTGTCTGTCTGACCTGTTTCCATACGTCTTTGCTAGATATGCTGTTCCAGACCACTTGAATAGGAACTTTCCTGGCTGTGGCTGAAGTTGTTTGATGTTGGAAAGGAAGTGAAACAGGAGAGCTGGCATGGTGATGGCTCACGGTGCCTATCTGGGACACCCTGCAATTGCTCACAGTGCACCCTGTTGCAAAGCGGGTGCTGTCCGTAAGGTCCCCTTCAGGTACTGCCTGCCTCATGAGCTGGGCATGTTGAGATCAATCAGCTTCACCCTGCTTCTCCTTTTTTTTTTTTTTCCCTCATGAAAGTCAGGTGGGATGTGGATGAGGTAATTTAATTATGCCTACATGTTGAAAGCAGTCTGGTTTTCAGAATGTGTTCTCTCTCTTGGCCCCAGGTAGCTTTAATTGCCCTTAAATAGATTGGAGGAGGTGGTGCCACCGAAAACCTGAGTCTGCATCTCCTAACATGGTTATTGGGTGATTTCTGGAAGAGTTAGCACCTGCCTGCTTTTTCCTCAGTGAGGAGATCCTTATGAATAGCAAAAAATGAGTTTATTAAATGCAGAAATATATTTAAGTGGACTGTGCTTGTGGTGTGAATTTTCCAGGTTTGGGAACAAGGGATTTGTGTTGGTGAGACTATTTCTGACATCAGTATTGACATCCATGTGTGCTTGCCCACAGAAACATACCTAAACAAAATTTTTCATCTGTGCAAGGTGATTTCTCATGGATCCTGATAGATTATCTGCCATTTGGGGGGTTCTTGTCTCTCACTGGGATCTAAATGTGGTTCCTTCTACATTCATAAGTTGGTTGTTCAAGCCTTATGTCCTTATGTGTTTCCACCTCTCTCTGTAAAAGCAGCATTTCTAGTGGCTTTTGCTGGAGAGGGGTGGAGTGACTAAATGCTGGAGAGGTTTCTTTTTTCATAAAAAGTTATTTGGGATAGGATTTTTCTCTTGATACATCCAAAACCTTCTGTCTTAAGGCGGTTTGAGTTCCTGCAGGCTCTGATCAGCCTTCTTGGTGTCATCTTTTCCCCAGTTACGTGCCTCTGCACAGAGGTGACGCATACTCATGAGCTTCTGCCTCTTAAACACACCTGCCTCTCTCACTCTGCAGTAGTCAGTCAGATTGTGATCTGCATTTGGCATGTTACGATATAGGGAAGGTGAAACAAGCCACTGCAACTCAAGCACAATTTACAAGGTTGTGAGTCAGATGTGTAGCATACAGAAATGTCCTGAAACTTTAGAGCTGAAACTTGAAGCTGCGTTCAGAGAGTTGCTCTGCCACTTAGAGGCTTTGAGCTAGTCCTGCATGGAGAGGGGCGCTGTCAGACTGCACCTGTGGAGAGCTGTTTGCAGGAGAAAGGAAGGGTTATTCATCTGTAATGGGAAGTTTTTGAGAAGCTTTCCGTATATATTCACTCCTTTCTGCGTCTGAAGAAGTTATTCCTCTAAACCTTGGCATTTCCTCCAAGACAATGGATATATTTCATCCCCACTGGCTAATGCAGAAGGGGTATTGTGGTTGCAGCCACTACTAAAGCACCTCTGACTTAAAATTTTTGCCTAACTGTATCCAAAAATGCCCAGTTCCTGATATGTAAACCTCCTTCTCCATTTATTGAATCTATTGAGAAGGGTAGAGTAGCATGTGGAGACCTTATTCTCTCCTACAGTGATGAAATCTTGGTTTGACCTTACTGTTGAGTTTGCTGATTAATAAGTTTTGATCATCACAGGATGTACAAATATACTTCAAACCGTTTCAAGACCCGTGCAGAGCAAGAGGTGAAGAAAGCAGAGCACATGGCGAGGATAGGTGAGTGTTGGGGGTATGTATGCATCCTGATTTTGCTGTAGCGAAGGAAAGGACTGAAAGAGGCTTCCTTGCTGGATATGACCTGAAATTGCTTGCTTCTGTGATCATTATGGTTGCTCAGGAAATTAGTTATTACAGTGACTACAGATGACCCAGACTTACTTCCATGCAGTGGAAGGAATGTACATTGTTCCCTAAGAGCACTTCCTCTGGGGAATACATGTACAGAATAACCCTTGGAGTCACAGCTTGGAGTCTGCCCTTGCTCCATCTGAAGCCCAGCTAAGCCCTGTTACCTGGCAGTTCTGCTCTCACCTTTTGCATATGGTCCCCTTCTGCTCCTTCCCTGTTGAGGCAGTTGTTCAAAAAATGAGATTTTTATTCTGTCGCTTGACGTAAAGTGACTGATCTGGGTGTACAAGAGAGTCCTGGCTTGTTTCTTGGGGTTTTTTCCCCCTTCAAGACGTACCTGTTGTCCATCTAGTCTTCCCTTCCTATTAAGTCCTGTAGTCCTCAGGAGAAACCCAGTTTGACATTATTGGATATTCAGCATATAAAAATTACATAAGCATATAAATATAGCCTATAACTTCATTAAATTTGCACAAATTTAACATACTAAGCAATCTCCCTAACCCCTGATGGGGAAATGCCGTAGCGAAGGAGGAGTCTTGGAAACTGTAAGACATTTTGACCTATATTTTCTAGTAGGTTTCGTAAATCAGTCAGAGGCATGTGTCCTCTCTCCCTCTGTAAGAGCTGCTCTAGGCACGTGCTACGTGTGTGTGCAGGTCAGATATGCAGGTGACAGTGCCACATTCCACCTGTGCAGAGTCATTAAGGGCAGTGTGATTTTTGACCTTGCCCAAAGCAAAGCAGCAAAATGAAATTGTGTGAATTGTTATGTTCCCTATTCCTCCTTTGTGAAGTACAACCTAACAAGATAGATTTGAAACTATGAAGTTTAAGCAGATTTTATTCTGTGCCTCAATCCTCATAGATGAATTTATTTTTTAGATGGAATCCTATAGCCAAAGCAGGTGTTCAGCACACACTTGGATTGCCTTCAGGAAGGTGCAAATAGCATGGTTTAGAGAGGCTTCTTTCTTGCAGCAACCCTTGAGGCCTTCATGATGTTTAAAATGTGAGCTTTAGTGTCTTGACACTGAAGAATACTGCCATTCAGTGTCCCAGTGCTAAGAACAGATACCATTGGCATGGAAATGTAAACTCATTTTCATCATCAAAGTTAGCCCGCTGCCGCTGGTGGTGAAGTGTGTGCTGACCAAAGGGCTTTGAACATGGTGGTGAAAACACACAGCAGACCTCAGACTGTTTTCTGCAAGGTTTGATCACATGAAGCCTCCAGGACTAAACATTCTTGTAGCATTAACCTCAGCTTCAACTGCACAGATCTCCTGTCTTGTCTTCTAGGAAAATGAATTTAATCTGTAACAACCAAGTTCTCTTGTTCTGCTGCTGATAGAAAAGATTAATTTCTCATCATCTCTAGCATAGGTTTTCTCTTGAGGATTGCGGTGGGTTGACCCTGGTGGACACCAGGTACCCCCTAAAGCCAGTCTATCACTGCCCTCCTCAACTGGAATGGGGAGAGGAAATAGAATGAAAGGCTCGTGGGTCAGGAGAAGGACAGGGAGAGATCACTCACTAATTACCATCACAGGCAAAACAGACTCAACTTAGAAAAAATTAATCCAATTTATTACCACAAAAACAGAGTAGAACAATGAGAAATAAACCC